AAAGAATAATACATTGTCCTGGGTATATAGGCCTATTATTTGCTCTAACGTTCACGCAAAAACTGTCATTCAGACTGTGATGAACTGAGCACAATAGAGATTTAATAAAAAGCACATACTCTTCTGAGGTTTATACTGTAGCCTTGTGTAATTAAAATGTATTAAAGCTGAAATCCTAAAAAAAATAAAACATAAGCTAACTTTTCCTGGGCGCACTGGCCCGAACTGCTGCACACTCTCGTGTATGTAGCAATGGCGAGGCCAAGAATTAAAATTTTCGGTTGTTTCCCTTCCAACCCAGTATACATTCAGAACAAATATAGCACGATTTGCATGGGATTATTTTATGACATTTGAATCTTCTTTTTTTTTTTTTTATGCATGAAAGCGCAGCAGGGATTTTTTTTTAAATGTATTTTTGTGTTCTGAAAAAAATAAGGTAATAAGGCTTTGAAACAACATCAAGGTGAGTAAATAATTACTAAATTTCCACTTTTGTGTGGACTGTCCAATAGAAAGGACAAGAAAAATAGTGAAGGGGTAAATAAACTAAAAAGATAAAATACATAGTTTGCTAAGCAACGTAGGCCTATGCAGTGGCTTTTTAACCAACCGAATTCACTAAGTTAGGAGATCTCTATTTCACTTTTTTTTTTCGTAAGGGAATTTTTATTCATATAGCTGCCTGTTACCAGGTTATTTCCAAATGTTTGATTATTTTTTTAAACATATTTTTTAGGTTTTTAAATCGGTTGGTGCTGTTGGTTAATGTAACTGCAGTTGTGTCTTGGTCCTTATCTGTCGTTTTTGGCTTATTTGAATTTATATCGTCATGTAATATTGTTAGATTAAATAACGTCAATTGAACTTGCCATACCTTGACTTTTAGTGAATTGGCGTCACTGAGGGATGGTCCATAATTTTTTTTCTCCCAAATTAAAGGTGCTATATGTATTTTCTAGCGGCCTCTATCGGTGATGTTTCAGATTGCAACCAATTTTTACAAGAGCGCTCGTGCTCGAACACAAGAGCGAGCACTCATGGTTATTCACGGCCACACTGAGACTTTCAACACACCGGAGAAAGCATCACACAACATGCTGGAAACTCATGTAAACTCCCACTGCAACGTTACAATAATAGGCTACTTTTATCAGCTTGACGTTGAACTAATGCTCCATGCTCGTACCATGATAACGTTACATTGACTGCATTTAGCCGACATGTGGTGTTATCTATAAGGCATTTCACTAACTATTCGTGTATCTTTCACAATCAGCAATGTCCACATAGATGAATGTATAATATGATAACGAAAACGGTGAACTAGACTGAACAATTTCAGTGTAACAGTAAGATCGTAGGAAGTAACATTACTGTACTGAACGTGTCTGGAAATGTGTATTATAAACAATATGATAGTAGTGGGATGAGTGACGTTAGACAGTAGATCTAGTACATAAAATAAAAGTTACATCCTAAAGCACCTTCTTTTTGTTATCCTGGAACAGTCTTTTGTATTCATTTCATGTCTCATGTATGTTGTAGTTTACCTTGCTATTTCATTACAGTTTACCATTATTTCAGCATATCTGAAAACTTGTAATTTATCACAATAAAAATAGCGGAGGTCTCTCCATAATTCAAACGCTCTGCCGATGTTGATCCGTGTTTTCGTCCTAAATCGATCCGATTCACGTTTGGCCTGACGAGCTTCAGCAGATTCATTTTGTTTTGTTTTTTATATTTATGTGGAGTTTGTGTTGGAGTGTGTTTTGTGCTGGAGGCAGGTCGTGTTTGGGTTTTATCAGACTCCATGTTGTCAGCTGCAGTGCCGTCGCATAGACTGTATATAAAAGGAGAGAGGCTCGGGAGCGCACATGCACGTCACCAGGGCCTGAAATTAACACCCGACCACCTGCCAAATGCGGGTGAATTTTGCTATTGGCGGGTAACACTGTCAATCTACCTGCCACATTGGCGGGTAGCCAATGAGAATTGAGTGATTCATTAGGGTTTTTTTTTACGTTTTCGTTTTCATTTTCATTGCGTTGGACCTTAGCTATAATGTGGCGGCACATTACTGGGGTAAAAAGGCCAGCTGAAACAAGCAACCAACAAAAAGATGAGGATGAGTCAAAGAAAAGTAAAAGAAGACATTTTAATACAAAGTGGTCAATTGGCGACAACGGCAAGGTTCGTGAGCGGCTGATTTATGACAGCGACTGTTGTTTCGTAACGTTCATGCGATCAGAAAGAAGATGAGGCCCTTTTCTGACTACGTTTGGATGTGCGAGTATTAAACTGTTGGTGAGATGGGATGAGATAATCTAACGCTGACGTAGGCTCCAGAACAATGACAGTTGCACAGATGTGTGCGTGTGCAACTGTAGTACATGTTGGGAGTTGGGAACCGGTGAGAAAATGTCCGGTACCCGGTAACTTTACCAGTAATAATATTAATTTAGTTCTGCTTAACGGTTCCTGAACGCTGTAACTAAAAGCTGTCAGGACCTAGCTGTCTACGTGACTAAATCAGCCATCAACACAGCCGCGGGTGATTTGTTTGCATACGAGCTGCGGTAGGTCTATAGATCTGTTGTGCGTGTGTGTGTCAAAATCAATGAATAAAAAGATTTTTTTTAAATGTATATTCTAAGAGTTATTATTACTTATATTGATTTCGTTAATAACTTGACAGCACTTAAATGTGTACAAGTTAAAGAACAATATTGTGAAATTCCCGTTTTTCACCTATGAAAATAAACAATAAAAAAAAAGGCTGGTAAAAAGTCTCTGTGGCAGGTGAATTTTGATATCCACCTGCCACAGTGGCTGGTGGCCAAAAAAGTTAACTTCAGGCCCTGCACGTCACATCCGGTGGATTTCGCAGAAAATCCGACCCGGAGACTTCACATAGAAATAGGAATACTGGCCTTCAGAGGTAATAGCAAAACCCGACAAGTGGATCATTGTAATGTGTGATTACAACCCCTTCACACACAGGCAATAAAAAAAGGTTACAAGTTACATTTAGCACCTTTAAGCCAGTTGAAAAACATTGGATGATGTGAATTATTCAGGCCCACCCACACTTTTAGAGCCCACCATCATCTACTGTCTGCCTCCGCCATCAGGAGTAGACCGTTCTTCATCGAGAGTTGAGGCGCGCAGAGACTATCAGCAGAGAAATGTTACGGATGGTTTTATTCCTTCCTTCCGCACTGAAACACAAGTCTGCACGTTCACATTCTTCCACCAACGAACGGAACTGTCTTTGTTTTAGCGCGTGCACAAGAATAAAACTAATGTCATCATCTGCATATAAAAAAGTCCACATGAACATACAGACTTAAGGTCATTTATATATAGAAGGGAAAAAAAAGGGGCCCAAGACACTCCCTTGAGGAACCCCACATTCTATATATGACATTTAATGTTGTGTCTGCTGGCTTTATTTCCTCAACAGCTTCAAGTTTAACGCACTTTTGTGTTCTATACAGGCCGTTTCGCGTTTGTTTTCACACACCTTACTCAATACACTATATTGAGACTTTTCTCAGCGACTCGCGGTTTTTAAATCCATATCATTTGTCCTGTCGTTGATGGAAAATCTGTTTGCTTATAGCAGTACTTTAAAGGAAGAACACAAAGCAACCCCAGTTTTGTGAAATGCATATCTGCGTGATGGTGCAATTGGTAAAACGAGTGCGTGTGTGTGCAAGCGACCCGGATTCGATTACAGTCCAAAGGGGTTCCTTCATACAATGTGCAAATATTTGTTCCCATTGTCTCACTGATGTTCTCTAAGTAAGTAACTGGTTTACTGATGTGTGTCAGTAAAAGGCAATTTCTCATACAGTGTCATTATTTATATAGATTTAAGTAATCTTAATAAATAATGACACTGAATGAGAAATTGTAGTCTATTTGAAGCACACTTCAAGTTTATTTGGAATGCCATGTGTTTTAAAATCACTAAAAGTTAGTTCGACAATCTCCATTCAGTTTTCACACAATTTTAGTTGTCTTCATGCCTTTTGCATAGCTTTGCACAATTTCATGCTGTGACTTGCTTAATAATCTGGAAAAAACTCTTTAAGTAGGGTTTCCATTTCCACCTAGCAAACTATTGAACAAACCTGTCTGAGATTGATACTTGTTCTCTAAAAAGATATGGAGAAATAAAACAAACGCTTTCTTTGAACAACTAAAATCTGAATGTTTATTGTACTGAAATACAACTAATATGTCACATAATAATTTGAAACACAGTGTTTATGTTTTCTCAGGTTTCTGTAGTAAATTAATTTAACAAGTAATAAAGATAAATAAAAGATCGTATTTTAATAAATAAATATTATTTTATTTTAAAATCCATGTTTTGTAATATAAGAACAACACAATGACAGGTTACCGATATATGAGCTCAAAAATGTCACTATTTGCATTTGAATATCGTGATATCTGGAATAAACTGTTTTGCTAAATCTCACACTGTTTTTTTTCTTAATTTATAGTGTTTAAAAGTTAAGGGTCAGTAAATAAAAAATGACAGTAAAGACTGTCAGAAAATATTTCTATTTTGAATAAACCCTTCTTTGAAACTTTTTTCTTATTTAAAAAAAAAAAAGTTTCCTGAAAAAAGTATCACAGCAGGTTACAAAAAAATATTAAGCAGCACAATTGTTTCCAACATTAATAATAAATCAGCATATTAGAATGATTTCTGAAGGATCATTTGACATTGAAGACAGGAGTAATGGCTGAAGAAAATTAATCTGTGCATCACAGAAATAAATTACATTTGAAAGTATATTAAAAGAGAAAACCATTATTATAAATTGTAATAATATTTCACAATATTACTGTTTTTTTAATCAAATAATGCAGGCTTAATGAGCATAAGAGACTCAAAAAAAAAAAAACCGTAATGTGTCCAAACTTTTTTTGACGGGTACTTTTATTTTGGTTTGGTGGTGTGACGTCATATGGCTGCGTCTTTGCTCCTGCTTTTGCTGTGAATCGGCTGAATAAAGGTTTGTGTTTTAAGTGTTTAGATCGATATAAACCCTTTTTGGCTCGGTTAGGTTGTGACTTAGACCGTTTTATAGCTTTATGAGAGCTATGAAATTAGATATTTATTTATATACATCACTGAATGTAACGTTGTTATGCTTAATTGTTAACAAATCGTTAAAGAATGTGAGTAAAGCGCAGTAGGGATGGAGAAACGGAGCTTTTGCCAACTCAAACAAAGTCCCTTTAAGACATTTACGTGTTATTCTATAGACTTTGACTCAAATCAATTAAACTAAATGCTTCTCGAAATGATTCAGTGATTCGATGCGCTCTCTCACCGCGTCTAACGAACACGAACGTGCAATTTAGTCAATAAACAAAAGCGAATGTTTTCATGAAAGTGCAGTCTATATTAATCTACATATTAATCACACCAAAAATTAATTCTAAGTTATAGATATAGTAGGCTAATGATGTGTGTGTCTATTTGTGCTCTTGTATTCATATATTACTAGTTTTTTCAATGACTTTTTGGCTAATGTTTAAGTCCATTAACTCTCACTCTCTTACCAGTGAACTGAACTAGAGCTGATTGAGACACTTCTTAACGTTTACTTTAAAAATTCTCATCTTAAACAGGACAAACACACAGAAAAACTCCTGGTGAAGCGACTGAGATCCACGTGACACACTATTATAAAGATGGCTTTTATTAAAGAGGAAAGTGAAGACATGAAGATTGATGAAACACTGAAACACAAAGATACTGAGGAACAAACAGGTTGGTTTCATTCTTGCAGCTTTAATCCTTATTAAAATCTCTAGCTGTACAGAAATTAATGATCATTTTAAATGTCATATGAGTCTTAAATAAAGCACTATTATTTGACATTGAGTCCCATGTGGACAAACATGTTGAGATCACATGACCAGACAAACACTAAGACTGTGAGACGCAGCTTTTTTCCCACAGCTAGCGTACTTTTCCCATCGGTTTCAATGGGAGCGCTGCGTTTTTAAAACACCAGGGCTGTGTTCCACTCCAAATTTGTATGCCCTTCAGTCACTAATTTCCCTCAGTCTCGTTCACACGGATGTGTGTCATTGCTTGTGTTGCACGAGTGTCCACTACTAGCAGAACTCGTGCGTAAGGTTTAAGTGGAACACACCTTGATCACTTGGAATTCACTATTGAGCTAGTTTATTATTTAAACCCCTTTTTACTTATAAAAAAAAAACATTAAATGCATATAAGTTGTTGGAGAAAATGTATTAAATCCTATAGGTATAGGAGCCGTTGGAGGAAAATAAAATTACACATACGCAAAAAGAAAAATCATTAGTTTAAACTTTGACTGTGAAGATAAGGTAGCTTTATACACAATTTATGCTATTAAATCTCTAAATAATTAATATATCGTACACTTCAGTAAAGCGTGATCTGTTGTGATGTCACAATCAAGTTGAATTGTGGGATATAGAGCTGTTTGAAGCGTACATAGGAGTAGACTCACTCACTCAAAGTGGAGGTCTGTCCATATAAACTTTCCTCGCCCACTTCACAAAGTAGAACGCACTTCAAAATGGCGACAGGGATCCCCGAGGGGAAGTGCTTAGGAAAGTTTGGCGCTGAGCACTCAGCGGTTGTTACCGGTCGCTGAGAGTATTTTTCCAATTGTTTTCATTGGAAAATTTAGGACACTTGATTCCTCTCAACACACCGATCACATTGGACGTCTTGCATTAGACTGCCCATTACAGTAGCAGCCATTTTGTTCCTAGTTTTGTCCAATTCTTATGAAAATTGGCAGAGATGATCTTTGGACCGAGCTGCACAGAAATAACTGAACAGATTTTTAAAATTAATTTTTGTTTGACAATGACATCACCAGTAGGGCTGGGCGATATGACCAAAATCTCATATCACGATAACGATATATATCATAATATAGTACCTTTTTCTGTAAATTCAATCAATTAATAGTTTATATATATATATATATATATATATAGACCACATGGAAAGGACTATTTTCTACATTTTAAAGTATATACTCAAAAATGTTTCGTTCTGAACAGAGAGGCTTTTTTGAAATGGCCAACCGATCAAATTCGGTTCGTTAAAAGCGTCGTATAAGGCCACATCCACACGAAGCCAGAGCTTTCCCTATCCGATGTTTTTTTTCCTCGTTCTAAAAAAAATCCGTAAATACGGCGACGTCTCGAAAAATATCTGTGTACACACGAAACCACTGAAACCGACTCAAAACGATGTAGTATACATCCCAGACCAGTATATGGCGCTGTAATTCTGCCATAGAGATACACTAAAAATGCGAGAAGAAGACTTGCGCATGCGCATAAAACCTTGCGCGCTGTAGGCTACTATAGACAGTAAAATAAAAACTAGGCTACAATAATATTAGGCGCAGTTGCTTCTTTTCTTTTTTTCTTTTTTTACCAAGAACTTTATTGAACAACCATAAATTGCCTGGTACAAAATAGGGAGTCACGATATTCGATTAGTTAGCGGACTCAGATACCACAAAGAACCGGCAAAAGTAACAAATGTGTCAAATATAGACATTTTAATTGTTTATTAATATAGTGTTTTCTGTGTCATTCTTGACTGAAAAGATGAAGTTGCTGACTCGCCACTTCGCAGTATTGTGAACGCGCCTATGGAGTAGGCTAATGCACTTCATACGGATTAGGATATAAGAGAGAGTTATCTGTTTCTTTTCGTTTTGAATTGTTGTTCGATGTTGTTTAAACGTAGACATTTCAAGCTTTCTATATAATTCTGAGTTTCGGTTCATTTATGAGACGAGCTCCAGTTCACGAGCAATGCAAGTTATATCGCGCCGGCGCGTCCGTCCTGATTATATTGTCTGCTATAGCCTATATTTGCTTCTTATTTATTAAATTCAGGTAACTGGTTGATGAAACATTGATTAAAATTAAGAGACAATTTATACAAAACGAAATTAACTTTAAAGAAAGGCTTTATACAAAACAAAACTTAATGTGGTTAAAATTAGGTCTCCCGATATATTGCGCATCTTATTATAGGCTACTCATGCATGCGGTTCACTTTTCATAATCAACATAGATTAAATAAAAAAATAACATATTTAAACATAAATATTAAACTAAATAGGCTACATTTCTTTAATGGCTACAACATGTATAGGCCTACAATAAGAGAAATGTAATGTCGGAGTGGAACATTATAAAGGCTATTCAAAAAACGCACCCCTGTAATCAAATAATTCCCATCGATCGTTTATTTTTGCTTTAAATCCTCTTCCCTACAAAATACAAAATGTCTTAATCGGACAACAACAGACCTGTACCATAGCATACGAAAGAAAGTATAGGCCTAAATAAATAAATTAAATAAAAACACATTTAAGTAAATAATAAATAAAGGAATACAAGAGGCTCAGTAGTTTCGCCGCATTATATTATATTATTATACAAGCAGTTCGGCAGTTGTTGTTGCTGTTACGTGACTATCTGACTAGTCGACACGTGGGGTGATGACATCATCGTTTCACAAAATATACGGATTGGCAGTACACACGAAAACGCAAGGGTGTCGTCTTCAGATTTATCCACCCTGGGACCCGGTTTCAAAAAATAGCGGTTTCAGTGTCCCAAAACGCAGGATCCGTCTGGACGAAACGCCAATACGACAGAAAATGTGTACGTATACAGCTAAAAGCGTCTCCGTGTAGACAGGGCCTAAATGAAGGTGACTTGACTGGTATGCTAAAGGCCTTGATTAGCTTGTTCAGGTGTGTTTAATCAGGGTTGGAGCTGAACTCTGCAGGAAAGTGGATCTCAAGGGCCAGAGTTGAGAAGCCCTACATGACCATATCACTGTAGGCAAGACATTGCCTTTATTTTTTCCATATTCCCAGTGTGAATCTTAGAATTTTTCTAGCATCATATTATATTTGGTTTATGAACGGTTATGTGATTAAAGTCGAGCAGACATTGACTAATCGCTGATGACATCATTTAATAAAGCGAGATGGGAATGCTTGCCACAATTTCCAATTAGAGGCTCATGTTTGTGAACAAATGTTGATGTTGGCTTGAGAAGCCAGAACCTTGTATGCATTTATTTGTGCCATTAAACTGGGCTTAAACCTGTATTTATCCATTTTCACCTTAGACCCGATGCTGCTGGAAGATGAGATTCAAGAACTGAATGTTGTAAAGGAAGAGGAACATGATTTCATAACTGGGGAAAACCATCCTAGCTGCTCGCAGACTGAAAAGACTCCCTCACGAAAAAGGGCTCGAAAGACGGGGGGTAGACGATATTTCACCTGCTTTCAGTGTGGAAAGAGTTTCAGTAAACGTGAAAACCTTAAAGCTCACGTGAGAATTCACAATGGAGAGAGTCCTTACCCCTGCCAACAGTGTGGGAAAGGTTTCACTGGAAAAGGAAGCCTTAAAGTCCATATGAGAGTTCACACCGGAGAGAAGCCCTTCACCTGCCAACTGTGTGGGAAGAGTTTTGCACACCAAGGAACGCTGAATGACCACAAAAGAATTCACACTGGAGAAACGCCTTTCACATGTGATCGGTGTGGAAAGAGTTTCAGACGTAAATTAAACCTAAATGGCCACATGAGGCTTCACTCAAAAGAAAACTGCTTCAAATGTCATCAATGCGAACGCAGTTTCACAGACAGCAATCACCTTGAGTGGCATGTGATCAGTCACATTGGAGAGAAGCCTTTCATGTGCCATTACTGTGGAAGGACTTGCTCAAGCAAATCAAACCTCGATGTGCACGTGAGACTTCACACTGGAGAGAAGCCTTTCACCTGCCAACAGTGTGGAAAAGGTTTCAATGAAAAAGGAAACTATCAAGTCCACATGAGGCTTCACACTGGAGAGAAACCTTTCATGTGTCTTCAGTGTGACATGAGTTTCACATATCGAAGAGACCTGAAACAGCATTTGCGAGGTCATACTGGAAATGGCAGTGTTGTGATTGGTCTACCGGTTACAGCGCGTAGAAACAAAAAGCCCATTATGTGAATCTCAGCTCTGGAGGATTCCTAAAATCGGCATTGGTTACTGGAAATTACTTTAGAACAGGGAGTGAAATTGTCTTCATTAGTACTGTATTAATGGCAGTTTAGACATTATTATTGGCGTATTCTGGCCAATTGTCTCAGTTTTGGACTCATTTTCATTTTCCTGACACAATTTTTTTTTTGTACCATGGTTTTTCATTAATTACATCACACCTGTTAGTATTCAGTTCCTTTGTCTAGTGTTATTGTGTTATACATGTTGTTTCATTGCTGTCCGCTGTGGATTTACCTGAATTAGTTTTGTTTAACATACCGTAATTCCTCAAATAAAGACCGGGGCCTTTATTTACCTGAACTGCAGATGGTAGCCGGCTTTTATTTGAAGCAGGCTTTTATTAGAGGCAGGCCTTTATTTCTAATTCGCGATCCCCGCCCACCCGCCAGCCAAGTTTCCATGGTGACGCGTCACGCTTGGCACGTGTTCACCACAGCCAAAATAGCGCTGTATGACAGATGTAGCGCTTTTATTTCTAAATATTAACAAACTTGCTTACCATGTCATCAACTATCTTCTATTCTGACTCTCAAATCCGTGTAAGTGAGTTTGTTTTGTCGTTTAAAACCCTTTATAAATTATCTTGATCTGTAACGTGAGATGGGCACCGCAGTTCGGAGATTCCTGTTGTATTTGTTACGTTACAGCGCGTGAATTCTTCAGTTTCTCCCGAAATACATGAAAGTAAGTGGCCGGTGAACTGGGAGAAGAATAGAGTAAACTTTATAGTTACTTACACTGTGTATCTGATATGAATAAAACACGTCGCCAAATATATTTGAATGGATTGTTATTGCTGCTTCCATAGACACCATTGTGTATTTTACAAACTATAAATGTATTGTTTTGCTATAAATCATATCTATTTAAATGTCTGAAACCTAAAATAAACATGTGGTTAAAAACACTGAATAGTTGTGATATGACAACCGCTGAGCGAGTCCGTCTTTGAGTGTACACTCATTTTTCCCCGGCCTTAATTTGAGACCGGCCTTTATTTGTCCGCGTTGACCACGCCCCCGGCCACTATCAGAGGCCCGGCCTTTATTTGAATACCGGTCTTTATTTGAGGAATAACGGTATATCAACTTTAATTTTGAACCCTGGCCATCTTCCTCTTCATTGGACTCTAAATATGTGACATGGATAAACTTTTACTTTAGAACAGGGGGCCTAATTGTCTGTAAAACTAACACTAGTTCAACAATTACTAGTTTCATATTGTTTCGTTACCTTAATTTAACTCTTTCCTCACCACTGACGCTATGACATCTTCTGAAAGAGTACAGAATCTCCAGAGTCAAAACACATGCGAAGAAACAAGCAAAAATAATGCGATCATCAACATTAAACCGCTTGTTGTTATACTGCCATGTTCAGAGACTTGCACCTAAGAATTTCACCGTCGGGACCAAGCGTGCCGCACAAGTGCTGAAAAGTGAAGCCAAACGTCTCGATCGCCCCCTGGTGGCTGGTCCCAGTATAGCTCATAAACCCCGCTATCCCCATGAAGTCTAATGGACACGATGGAAGATAAACTAATTTTTTTTCAAAGATGTTTTCTGTCATTTTAGGTAGTTTTCATCCCGCTGATTTAAGTTTAAGTGTTCGTTTGTTATAAATAAGTTTGGTCTTAGTTTATTTGATACTATAAAAACAGGAATGTGACATCATGATTGACAGCTTCTATTAACGAAGTAGTCACCGAGGAACCAACAGACTTTTTTGGGATTTTCTGGAGGAGATTGGAGCTTCAACTTTAATTTCTACATGTCCATAACTGTTTATTTCAAATAGTAAACTTTGTAGTAACCGTTTCTGCGGGACTTTTCACCAATGGAAGAGAGTGAAGGGACGTCGTCCATCTTTTTTTTTACAGTCTATGGTCGGTACACTTGTGTATACAACGTGTGACAATAAAGAGAATACGATAAGATATAGATCAAAACTACTTAATGTCACTGCATGAAATGTCAACCCAGAATAAGTTTTAGGACTGTTAAGCTTTAGGGGTGTTGATTGACTCTACTCTGTGTTTTGATCATCGTTCTGAATCCCACCTGGATGTGTAGTCTTTGACAAACACATGACTTTCCCAGCTTTTTGCTCAAAATGTTGCTATTTTTTTATGAAATGTACCCACATTCAAGTGTTTATAAAAAAAGAATGCATGAATCTAGAATAAAACAGTTTTTTTTTCTTTAAAAAGCTGAGTCTGTTCTTTCTTTTGATATTTTGCATATTCAGATTTTCATACAACAAAATAGTCTAGGGGCCATGACATTTTTGTGAAAATGACCAAAATCGCTGGCGGTGGCCGGCAACATAAAAAAAAAGAAAAAATACAGCTGGCAGGGAAAGAGTCAACATTAAGTACATCACTACACAGAAAAATGTATATTTGTAATGGCTGAAAGACATTTACATTCAGGTAATTGTAGTCTGATTTTTGCACTGATCAGTAGTAAACTCAGAGACAATTTTCCTTCCCACATCCTAAGGATCCTTTAATGAGTCTATTCTTTTTTCATATTTTTGAGTGCTTAAAACTCCAAACTCATTGAATGGGTGGCTAAGTTCATTTATCTGGAGCAAAAGAAAACCTAGATTGAAATGATCAAAACTCCAGCTCACTAGTGTGAAGGGAGGTTTGGACCTTTTGAACATTAGATTGTACCAATTGGCTTGCCAACTTCGATTTATTGTTGAATGGTTTAGTGAAGACCCTAAATCAGTCTGGCTTGATCTCGAATCTGCACAGTCCACCTGTACCTTACAAGACCTCTTATTTGTGCATAACTCAAAGATGAGAAATACTCTGTGTAGCAGTCCCTGGTGTGCTGTCCAAAGGCTGGAAGGCAGGATTGAATCCGGAGTTTCTACCAAGTACAGACCCTGGTTTTAACTTATAGCATGCTCTTGGTGACTTGTGACTTGTTCGGGGAGGGATCTCTATTGTCCTTTGGTAACATAGTCTCAAGATATACTTTGACTAGGCAACACTTTTTCAGATTTTTGCAAATTAGAAACTATATATTCAAAAATACTACACTCACTTCTAATTACTCACTATCTATTATTGAGAAGATCTTTCTGAACCCTCCTCCGCACAAGTTAATTTCCCTTTTCTATAAAGCTCTATGCTCCTATGGTACAGTTAGTACCTCACACTAGAGGTCTTCTCGGGTCCTAAAAACTGTACCCGACCCGAATCACTACTTACCCGAACCCGACGTGCATAAATAATTTTTTTTTAAAGAAAAACCAGACCCGATAAAATTAGACCCGAGTCCGACCCGACCTGACGCCATTTCCTTTAGAAGCCGACTAGACCCGATTCCCGAACGTAAACGGCATTTACATTGTGCACAGCCTGCAGCCCTGCGTTTCTCAAAAATGCACTTAACATAGACGCGCAAGTGTAAGCGCGCTGAAGTGCTAAAATGACAATCACACATCATAACCCATTACGTCCTATAACATTTGGCATAATGTTATTTACCGGACCATACGATGATTAGAACCAACATTCATTTTCCCTCACCTTTTCGCAATGTCTGCTATCGCCTCCATGCTTTTCTGACAGTGTCGCGTATTCTTTAAATGGATTGACAGGCCTGGCTTAACGACAATTCAAATACTTGCATTTAGTCAAACATCCATCCACATGATGGCGCACTAGTTCTTCTTGGCAAAGGGAGGGGTTGGTTTATGTGGAGCGAGCAACTGAGTAAATAAATGCGGAGGCAACCGTGCTTATGCTGATAGCCCATTGCACATAGAAGCGCGGATTCGCTCTCTCACTTAGAAAAAGTGAGAGAACGGTGTCATAGAGTTGTTTTAAATACTGCAAATTTGTTAAATGCCCAACATAGTTTAAAAGAATTCGGGTCTTCTCGGGTCCATTTGGAAAAGGCATATTTATTTTAAATTACCCGAGACCCGAGGCCACTAATACCGAACCCGACCCGTGTCCGAGACACTAGTCGGAGTTTTGGACCCGAACCCACTCGGGTCTCGGGTTTTCGGATCCAAGTGGACCCATGAAGACCTCTACCTCACACCTCAGACTAATTTGGGAAAGGGAGCTAGGGGTGGATATTTTGGAAGAGGAGTGGGAGACTGTCTGGTCCCAGGCTAATAGGCTTTCAGTATGCAATAGGGCAAGAGCCATTCAGCTCAGAATCCTGCACAGAATACATATTTCACCTCATGTAAGACATAAATACAATCCAACTCTCTCACCACTCTACCCTAAATGCAAGTCTAATATAGGAGATTATACTCATTGTATCTGGGACTGTCATGTGATCCAGAGTTGTGGTTCAATTAAACAATATCTTGGATGTGGCTTTGAGATTGGATCCTTTGTTACTTCTTCTGGGTTTTCCCTGTAAGCTCATTTCTAGCAAACATAAAAGACTAAATAGTTCTTTCCTACATAGAAAGTTCTAGATAATGTTCATTACTCATGATTTGGATCTTTCCTTGCCATTAATGCTTGGATAACACACTACGTTTCATTTGAAGTCACCATTATGGTAGTTAATGTTTGCTAATCACCAAAATTATTGGACTTTGAGCTGTCAAATTAAGTCTCTTTCAATAATTACAATAGCTTTTTGCTATAAACACATCATATCACATTTATTGACGTAATATTATGACGTGAGCTATTACTATTGTTGTAGAATGTATGATGTGCATTTTAATTTGTTTATTTAATGCACCTTGCTGACTAAAAAGAAAGATACAATGCCTATTTAATAATTTATTTGAATCGTAGATAAATGTTGCATTAACAACCCAAAATATGAATTAGTGTCAAGGGCAGGTAAATTGGATGTAATGGCTAATAAAGAGTATAATAGAGTATAGTCATAGGGATATCAATAGCAGTGTTACCATTACAGATTTGCGATAAACTTTAGCAATATTGTCTAAATGTTGAAACGGAAATATTGTGAAATGACGGGATTTCCATTAACCGATGTTATGCGACTAAAACAGATTTTTTTTCTTCTCGCGATAAGTCATTCCAAAAATCATGGCAGCGGATGTTGGTAAGTTT